AGAGAAACCAGGGAAAGCATCCTTAAAATCATCAAAGTCAGTCATTCAAGCAACTTTTATGACAATACAATGGACTGCACCAGCTGATGATGGAGGAAGTCCGATTACAGGATACCGAATGATCTTACAAAAGGGTGAAAATGAGATAAAAAGGATAATATCACCGATCCTGAACGACAACTTATTCGTTGCGTGGTTTGGAGAGAACACAAACTACACGGTGAAACTGTTTTCCAGAAATTTTAGAACAGGAGATCCTAATGTAAGGACGATTAGGACCAAGTTTGAAGGTGAGGAATCACAAGTGATTTCGTTACTGAGCACGATTGATTAGATTTGTTGTGAGTTATATCAGTTTTTACAATGTTTTTTTACAAAAGAATCAAACCTCCATAGCGCTCCCATAGCCATCAGAATTTCTACTTAATTTATTGACATTAAACAAAACCTTCAAAACCTTCCGTTGCATGTTTTACATATGTAGTACTTCTTGTGTTAAACCAAAACAAGTAAGGTTGTCTTTTTCAGGAAAGTTTCTGTCGAACTTCATCCGGCACATATCTCACTCAACAAAAAAAATATTGTGGCAACAAGCGTGAATTTAGTAACAGAAGTTGAAAAGTTGAACATGGCTACAAAATTCGTAGCACCTGTCATCGCTTTAGCGCTTCTTGTCATCGCTTCCTCAGTTGGCAAACCCCCTGAAGAAAAGTTTGTTTTCTCAGCGGAAAAACCCGCGTCAGCTTATGTTTGCTGAAGAAGAATCATAGCCCTGGACGCTCAAATGGCTCGAGATGCAGAGCATGCGTACTCATTTTTTCGCTGTGTCATGGCCGAGTATCTGTACTTAGTATTGCACGATGTCAAACTTTCTGTAATAACGTAGCACAAATGTCCTTCAATTAGCATATGTTGTAAATGCTCATAGAGGTCAACGTATCATTCAATCGACTATACAACCGACCATCACTTTTTGTCCTTTCAAATTATTTTAAATTTCTTCAATTAATTTTGCTTGCCATACACGTTCGTTTCAAAAATATCCCAAAAAATCCTCCACCAATTTACAGATTATCTTATCATCGACAAGAGTTGTGACCAGGTTTTTATCAAAAAGTTGAATAATTATTAGGAATTTCACACTGGTCATGTTGTTGACATCAATCTAGGAGCCCCAGGTGTGGTCGAAATAGACGATCTTCCAGGTAAAACGACAGACGATACAATTGCCCTAAAGTGGAAGGAGCCAGAAAGTAATGGAAAAGTTGTTATCATGTATTCAGTGTACCAAAGGGTAGTGACTGATGGGAAAGTGGGACAATGGACAGAAATAAGGAGAATCAGAGATGTTTCCGTGAGAGAATTGAAAATAGCACTGGAGAGAGGAAAAGTGTATCAGTTTGCCATTACTGCAACTAATGAGCTTGGTGAAAGCCTAAAACAAGATAAAGCAAATATCCAGGAAGTCAAGGCAGAAGGAAGTATGTACAAATGAATGTTATTTTCCTCTTTCAAAGGTTAATCCTTTTCTTTACTTAATTTTCAAGCACTCTCTATGCCATCAGCATCGAGGTTTTTACGGGTGAATTATTCGCTTGCAAAAACCTGTATTAATGAGAAACATTTCACTTACGTCGCAGATGATATTTGTGTGCCAACTGCAAGGATATGACATATCTATTAACTGAGATTTTATTTATTGGCTGGCACACAGGTATTTTGGGTAGTTTACTGACACATGCTCATCTGAATCCGGAAAGAGAACTCTGCAAAACTTCAGTTTTATCTTCTCACACTTAAATTGACTGTTTTTTCCTTTCCTTTGCCGCCATCATTCAGTTGATGCCTCTCTCCCACAAAACATTTTCACCCTTCCACACTGAATTCCGAGACCTTTCCTCTCATTTTCACCACCACGGCACTTTATTCTTTATACCGATGAGAGCGACTTTGCACTTAGCCCCCTGTTCGCGCCTTAATTTCTAAACCACGAGAACTCTGAAGGGGCCTATTGTCGGCAATTTCGCTTTCTTTAAATTAAAGATGTATAATCATGCTGCCTCACGCTGCGAACAGAGAGGTTGTCAATCTTTTCACTGGTTTTCTTCGGTGAAGCCATAAAGTGTGACGTAGACTTCCTGTGTCAAGATCTTGAAGGGGTCTTCGTTTTCAGCTCTCAGGTCTTAGGTCTTAGTTTTCGGGGGTTTTCATTTTCGCTTCAAGCGTGCTTCGCTTTCTCTTTGTTGTTGACCTCTTTTCAGTCTTTTTCCTGGAGCTCTTTTTTTCTTCCCTTCTTACGGTGGCCTTCACTAGTTATTCGCCTTTTTACTTTAGCCTTTTCTTGTTCTTTATCGCGTTCTTCCTTTTTTGGCGTCCTTTCTAACCCCTTTCGCGTTTTTCTCGACTCACTCCCCGCCTTTTAAGTTCTTTATCTCTGTGGTCGCTCTCTCTCTCTATTTCCAGCCTATTTGCACTTGAAAATCTTTCTCCACGAGCTCAAATTATAACAATTTTGTCCGTTTAGCTCTTAGTATTGTTGCTTGCAAGTTAATTAGAAATTGCAAAATACTAAAAATTGCTTTTTTCATAGAAAAAGTTGAGACTGCCTCTACCAATGTCATCTATATCATAACTTGCAGTTATTTAAAAAAGTTATACTCCGGCGAAAAAGGAAGACGACTATAGGAACGACTCTGAGATCACCGTCGTGACGTAGGAATGACAAACACGCATCCGAAATAGTCGTTAGACACTCTAATGATTCCAAGCTACATAACCGCAGAACTCACGAAAAAAAAATCTCTCAAATTGGCCCTCCTAACCGTACAGTTTATGTGGGTGTTTTTTGTAAGTAAAGGCTGTTTTTATACATGAGTTCAAATGATAATTCTTTTACATACAAACAAACATTCATTTTAAGTCGTATTTTGTTTTTTCCCTGTTCAAACAGTAAGCACAGACGTTTACCTGACAGCGACCATAAGGGAGAACTGTAGCAGACGTACAGAAGTTGCTGCGAAATTTCCAGAAATGGTTAGATAATCTACTTGACCATATACCAGAGTGTATGTAATACTACCATAAGATTCTGTTCTTGAATGAAATCTTAATATTTCTATTTAAAAAAATATGATATTTTGAACGATCTTCAATATGTAACAAGCATGCATTTGAATATACAGTTTTTCTTTATATGTCCTTTTAGGCTTGTCAAATTGCCTTTAGGTTTGGCTGCTCATCCGCCAACACTGTGAACACCAGGTAAGGTACGATTTTTTCTTTACACTAAAAAAAACCAACCGGGGGGGGGAGCTTTATCTCATAGTGGCGTATTTTAGCGTGAAAACTGGTTTTTCTGCTTTAGAAAATCTTATTTAATTGGAAATAATTTGCATTTGAAGTGCATTTTGTTTAGTGTACAGAAATATAATGACACAGAATGACATGAATTAATTTTATTTACCTTGGTTTATAACATAAAAAGTACTCTTTTGGTTACAGCTCAATGTATTTTAGGACTTAAAAGTCATCAAAGTACAAATATGCGTGATGATACTCTTTGCTTCCCTCCTTATCTAGGTGTGGCAGTGTCGTTCTTGACTTCATGATGAGGTTCAATCACAGTGTAGTCGTCAGCAATGTTTTAATTGTCTTGTCGGATGCTGCAAGGCAAGACAAATTCAGAGGTTTTAAAGTCAATCCAGACTCAATTAAGCAGGTTTCTATACCCACAGACGGCGCGGAAAGCACAAAAAAGGGTAAATTTTACAAAGAAATTGTTAAATGTTTACACAATTCTTCCGAAAACGGACTTTTTCTAATTGTATTCCGTATCTGTTTAATTCAACAACTCATTTCTGTGAGTGATATATTTCCAGGTTTTTGTTTTTGTCGTTGTTGTTGTTCAACTAAACAAAATCCTACTTTTAAAAATTATTATAGAGAGAGTGACACCTTACTTTTCCTTCGTACCAAGCCAATTAGAGTTAACTTTTTTCGGTCATAAGTCTAAGCTATGTAGTGAGAGCAGTGTATTGACCAGGATCAGTGTAAATGTTGTTTGAATGTTACTTCATCAAGCTTTGTAAAATGACTCATTTTAGGTCCTGAGGAATGTAACTGCCCATCTAACAACGTCTTGTTAGCCATAATTGGGGTTCTTGCCTTCACAATCCTTCTTCTAATTGTTTACATAATCTGGCTACACAGGAAAGGTAGGTAAAAAAATCATTATCTATGGTAGAGGGTTTGGCTTCAAGATTCATTAATGAGCGAAAGCAAAATTTTGACCCACATCCGCATCATTTGTCTTTTTTTTCCTTTCGTTCTTTTTTAGGCGCTGTAGGGAAAGAGAGGTAAGAATTTGCTGCCAGTTGGATTTTGTCGATGTCTTGTACCAGATATGGTTTCATCGTAACATAAAAAAATTCTACTTAAAGCTGATGAAATTCTCAGCTTTTTGTAAATATTTGTATGCTTTCTCAATGGTAGGACTTATAAAGATGAAAGAGGTGATTATGACGTAAGTAAGAACCATGACATTGCGGTCTTGTTAGTGTAGCCAGAAATTACGTAATCTCACTTTACTTCTACTTTCTATAAGAAATTAAACGCTTGCAGCAAACAAGAAGGAAAAAAGGCGTAGTTCTACAACAAAAAAGCATATTGCATTAGTGGCAGATACAATGAAATAGAAGGAAGTTAGACTCAATAAAGTCTTTGTCCTGGGATCATGTCCTTAACCAAGATACTCCATGGATTTGCCTTCGGTTTTCCCTGGTTTAACTTGGCGGCTTCACTTCGTAGATCGCTAACTGGTCTGCACCCGGTTGATATTTGCTCTCTAAATAATTGTTTTTGCGCATTTTTGGCCTTCTTATTTTCTTGATGCCTTACTTTCTAAACGTTAATTTAGGAGCTGATAACAGCTACAGTTTTTCGTGCGTGCCTTTTTCAAAAATTGCACTACCAATCGTAAATCTCCATGTTGCAGTTTGTAGCTTCGGCGAATATGCTATGAACCTCGATCACTCCACTGGACATATCAGTTTCAAAAGCAGAGAAAAAAACGTTAATAATAGTAAATGTTCGTAATGATAAGGACAAGAGATAGTAAACCATTTGTAATCTCTTGTTAGGGAAGAATTTAAACCTTTGTGTGATAAACCATGAGTAAACTGATTTTTATAACCATGTGGGATATTTACCGGGATTAATAACAGATTTCTATATGAATACCTTAACGGTATGTTGGTTTAATAGAATGAAACAGGATTAGATGATATCGAACCAACTATACCCGAGTCGAGAAAACTCACTCAGCCTCCTGCGGAATACATGGATCTCATAGAAGTCAACAAAGATAATAGACAAGCACAAAGTACCGCTTCAGGTGCCGATTACGTGCCTCTTCATCCGTTGACACGCTGCTGGGAAGTTCCAAGACACCACGTGACCATAGAAAAAATCATTGGTAAAGGTGCTTTTGGTCAAGTTGCCAAGGGAACAGTGGTAGGACTTCGAGGGAGTCCCGAAACGACCACAGTGGCTATTAAGATGCTTAAAAGTGAGCTCTTATACTGTAAATAGAATAACAGTCTTGGCCTACAGTCATTCAGGAAATGTTACCGGGTTACCGTAATTTTTCAGCCATTTGCCGTATCATAACTTATTTCGGCATTTCGCATGTTATTCCCGTTAACCAAATTTTATTCCTTGTCTTTAATGCTCCAGCAAACGCCGCTGAATCGGACAAGAGAGATTTGATGAATGAACTTGACACAATGAAGCAGCTGAAACCACATCCTCACGTCATTAAACTACTGGGATGTGTTACAGAATCTGGTATGCTTTGGTTATGCGGGTCTAATTTTGCTGTACACATTTTGGTTATGGTTTACTCTGAAACGCTTTCTAGTCATTGATCATTTGCTTTAATGGAAGATTCACTGCTTCACCACTGAGCACGACAAACAACCCTGGTATAAGGTAATTTTATATTTTTTTAGCCAACAAAGACGCTCCTGGATTTACTGATAGACTAAGACCAAATATTTGCCACTGAACAGGCTAGAAAGCAACAAGCAGAAACGCTTGCTGTAAGGGAATATTTGGTCGTTTCTTCTTGAGAGACCATTACATAGTTTTTCAGCTTTTCTTGGTAAAACCATCTTTTTTTCGTGAGTATTGATCATAATTGGGCTATTTATTGATTTTATTTATTGAAATTTCATCTTTTTTCAGTAATATATCAATTAAATTGTTTAATTTCTTCAGAACAGCTGTTGGTTTTGATTGAATATGTGCCTTTTGGGGATCTACTGGGTTACCTGAGAAAGAGCCGGGGATTAAAGGACACATACTACAAGGACCCGGATTTTAAACCGCAAACAAATTTGACGTCACAGCAGCTGATGAAGTTTGCTTGGCAAATTGCTGATGGAATGTGTTACTTGTCCTCAAAATCTGTAAGTTAATTAAGAATACAAAAGACAAACAATTCTGAAACCTTCTGGTAAGGTGTATCGTCATGTTAAGCTCTGTCTTGCATAGAATATTATGTCTTCACAAGATCACGCCCGGGAGATGCAAACGTATTCTTACCGTCTTGTTGAGGCCACTTCTTTAGCGCCGGAACCCTCTCAATTTTGACGTCATCTAAGTTTTATTCCAATGGGTGAATGACCATATTTGTGCATCGTTGCAAGTGTACCCCATCGATATAAAATATCTTGGTTTTTCTCGTGTAGGCAAAGGCAGAGACGAGAGTGAAAAGGATCCTTCAGGATATTTAGCCTAAACTGTGTGTACAACAAATATCCATTTTAGTGACAAGGAAGAAAAAGAATTAAATCTTGAAATTCAAAAATTCGTCTTTGGTCGCTAATCTGCTACGTTAGAGAATCCTATTTCGATTAAAATCTGATAAGCGTTCTATGAAATAACTGCGTATTGCAAAAATAAAGTAGTTTGCTTCTCTTTGGAATATGGAGCAGTGTTTATAGTAATTTAATTTTCTGCCATCTGGAAGAAAGAGAAATACACACATCATATCATGTTGCTTGATATTACTATTTTCCTATCTGAACCATTTCATTTCAGTTCTTTTGCAATCGCTAATTTCTTTTTGTTTCATCAATTCTTTCCTAGATCATTCACCGAGACCTTGCGGCCCGCAATGTGTTGGTTGGACAAAAGGAAACGTGTAAAGTGACAGACTTCGGAATGGCCAGAGATGTGCAGAAGGAAAATATTTATGAACGAAAGACTAAGGTAATCAAGAAAGAGGGAGGGTGGAGGCGGTACTACATATCGTTCAGTTAGTGATCTTTCACAATCATTGTTTTGGTAAAGCTGATATATTCCTGATTTCGATCAGGAATTCCTTGGAATGAACTCCAATAAAAATATTAGCCATGCGTACACGAGTATAACTTCAAATATCATTGTCTTTGACCAGTCGCTTCCTATCATTTTTGAGCTGCTTCACAAAGTGATATTTTAAAATGTTTAGGGCCGTCTTCCCGTGAAGTGGACAGCTTATGAGGCCTTGTTGTATGGTAAATATACCACAAAAAGTGACGTGTAAGTATACCCGATTATTACCCGTAGCAGTTTTCCAACAAGTTTTATCAATTTTTTTCAAGAAATTGATTCTATGCTTTTTCAAAGGATACATATATTTTATTTGTCATATATACTGTTTAAGTCTACTATATTATTTCTGCAGATGGAGTTATGGAGTTTTGCTGTACGAGATTTTCACCATAGGTAACATCGAATGGAAGTTTATAAGGCTCTGTGGTGTTTTTTTGCTATATACGATGTTTAATTAAACAATGCAACGTGTTTATTTAGACAAAGGTAATGAGCTTCCCCATGCAACCTCAAACTCCATCAAGAGACACAGGTGGTGTTTCAGCAAAGTTCGTTTTTTCGTCACATTTATATTTCGATGGTCCTGTGGTTCTTTCAGGCGGTTCACCCTACCCACGATTGGATGGAAGAAAAATTGCAAACTTACTTCAGGATGGATACAGGATGCCTAAACCACAACATGTAGATGAAAACTTGTAAGTTTTATTTTTCAAATCGTTCTCTCTTATTGTACTGGGAAACGTTGTTTAAATCTCTAACAGATCATTTGAACAATTCCAGGTATCAGATCATGATGAAATGCTGGAAGAATGACCCAGATGCAAGACCAACCTTCACTGAATTGAGAAACCAGCTGAAGGACATGGAAAACTTACACAAGGTTAGAATTTTGATCAACATGAAAGTTTCTTTTCACGTGAAACCGACTGGCTTAGGCTCATCAGCTAACTGGGGTTTTAACCTTAACAGCATTGGGTCAAGATAGGTTACAATATGAACTCATCTCTGTAATTTTTACAAAGTGTGGATTCCATCTTTTTGTGATGTCACTGTAGCTAGCACTCCGCGAAAAACAGCGGAGAAGCGCGCTTGAATTTCTCAATGGCAACTGACACTTTATGGTTATTTCAAAGATCATAGGACGATTGCAAAAGTGTATTAAGACGCATGAACGGTAGCAGACGACGAAGCCATAAAACACTTTCTCCTTGAATTTGTTTTGGTGAGAAAAGCTGACGGTTAGGAAGGACTGAACCGCTCATAACATAAGAGGAACACTTTTTTAATGATGGTGATTATTGTCTTATTTTTCTCTGCAGAAACTGATCAACATGACAATGTACGACGAGCAGTTGTATGCAAACGTCGAGGATTTAATAGTGTAGTTAGATACACGTCAGCGGTATATGACTGACTAACAGTTTAAACACTTTGCCACAACGAGTTTCAGGGATTAATCATCTTTGCCTTACACGCTTACTTGGTAGAAATAGCCATGTTGTGTTGAGCAATCTTCTGTCACTCTCAGTTGAGTTTAAGATTCAGTTAATCTTACATCATTCTAAACTAGGTTACCTATTGGTCAAAACCCTTCTTTCCTCAGCTGCACTAAATAGTTGCATTAGAAAACAGTACCTAATATGAAAACAACGCTCTTTCTGTCTGGATCAGAGGTTGCTTGAGAAATGGTCTTAACGTCCAAATGAAGGAGAGTTTTGCCTCTGTCTTGAAATATTCACAGACGTCTTTCTTTTACTTCTGATAAAGTTAAATAGAACAATTCCTATCATTGACATATGATTAAATGGCGATTGATCAGTTTATAATTTCCAAACCAAACTAAAGCATAACTAAATTACAAACTCGGAGGCGGGAGTACACTGAATAACATAATGCAAACTCTGCAAACTGTTATAAAAACAAACATTCCGAAAGAGAGAAGGCAAAGGGAGTTATTTCTTTCAAACTTTCAGTGAGAAATCTATCCATAATTAACATCCTTGATTTAATGCTTTTCACGCGTCAAATACAAAAATGTACGAATTAATAACGGAGTCTTGAATACTTTACGGTAATAAAGTGAGAAATGAAGAGACCGATAAACCAAGACAATTATCCAAAAAGTAACGTAAGCACTTTCAATCAACATAAGATTTGAAAGAAAATTTTAAGATTTGAAGTTATTGGAAGAGTAGAAATGGTGTTTGCACGGAAAAATGAGTAAATTTCTGTAAGAGGAATAGCCCACCCCTGATGCAAATATTGTGTCATTGGTGGGCTCAGTTGTAGTCTGTAGTGGGATTAAGTAAGTTTACTAAAAATAATAAATGTACTGCTTTTAGGAGTCGCTCCTTGGTAAGAATATTTACTGATATTCCTTTTTAGCCCGATTAACGCCTGCATTTTGAGAATTCTTTCGTACAAATTAGTGAATTTTTGATATGCAAATTAAGATCGAAGGGAAGGGTCTCCTCTGATCACGCTGGTATGAATATTATTTCAGCTGAAGTTTTCATATTTTGTCTGAGAACTAAATGAATACATTTTGTAACTTGTAGCAAGATAGAATTCCGTGAGCCATATTATTGCAGTCGGTGCGCGCTAGACAAAATCTGTGAAATTTTCACTTTCGATCCCTGTCCTCACGGGTGGTCTAGCCAAAAATCATTTTTGGCTTGTGTCGATGCCAAAAAAAAAAAAAAACTATCCGAGAACAACTACACTATTTTTGAAATATGTATCCTAAACCCTTTTAATGGGCAAAAAATAAACGAAAATTTTTTTCCGACGGGAAGTCGAGAGGACCGCTCTTAGCGAGAGCGACACTAAAGTATTTATTTTACGACGCATTTCCAAAAAGAATGAATTACTAAAAGAGGCCGAGGTGAACAAAGCTAATTGTTAGCAGCAGTTGTTGCCGTGCCAAATGGAACGACAAAGTGAACTGGTTAAAATCAGTTAATACAAGCCGCCTAACTCAAGTACGTACCCATTTTATACAGTAACTTGAATGTCCATCAACTGTCACAAAGGAGTGAACTACTTGTCGTGGGATCTTTATCATTCTCAATTGATCCCTTTATGCGACGAAAAACTGTGATTGGATATAAAACGAATTCACGTGGTCTGAAGAGAGATAAAAAACATTACTACCATCCAAATTTACACTGGTAAATGAAATGGTAAAGATCCATAGCTTAGTCTTTTTCCGCCCTTTTTAAAAAAACGACGGAACACTTTGGCGGCAATAACTTTAATGACTTTTTGGGCGAATGGTTTCCTTTAGGAAACGTAGTCTAGGCTAAAAAAAACACTACAGTAGAAAGATTCCTGTAAGTGCTTTTGTGGTAGGTTTCCATTTCCCAAAATTAATCGCAGAAGGCTCTTAAATTCAAAGTGGATCCTTTGACAATTACAGCACCATAAGCTCCTTGACCATGCGTATTAATATACATTATCCGCGGGGAAGTTACCATAAATAAAGAGGTCTTCCCGTTTGAAATAATGTCTAGGAAATACGTTCTGTCAACCTTAAGGTTATATTGCTGACCACATGCTGTGGACAGTACGTGGTCATCTTCTAGTCTAACAGGTAAGGGTTCTGTTCTATTTGCAAAGGACAACATGGTGGCAGCTTCTGGTACGGAGAGATATCTCTTGGGTAAACTGTCCCGGCAAACCTCCTATTTCCTAATTCTATACAGGCCCAAAGCATCCTAAATATATCGTGCGGAAGGGGTCCTAGATCAGGAATTTTAATTCCATTTCTAAAGAAAATATACGCAACAGGAAGAAAAATTAAGCTACAAGCATTAATTCCATTGCATCCGTTGAAGGTGCTCTGGCTTATCTCTTGAGGGAACTGCCAAACACAGATATCCATACTAAAAGTTAAGGCATTTTAAGGGGGCAATTGCAATTCATCGACGATCTTTCATAACTCCTCTCTATATAGAATTCCGGGTCAAAAGCCTTCGTAGTTCCTTTTTCTTTACCGATTTAATTGGTCTGCCTCCTCCTCGTCCTTTGCGTCTGCTAACCAGGTGTCAGTAGGTTCTGCTTCTTGATTGTCTTCGCACAACTAATTCTCGGAAGGAATCTAGTTCCTCTGATAAAACAGGGGCAAAGTAATTCAACCCTGATGCAATTTTCTTTAAAGCAAAGTTCTTTCCTTCTTCTAACAAGGAGATCTTTTCTCTAGTCAACAGCGGATCTGAAATCGATCCAGAACTACCTGACACCTAAATTTAAAAAAATAAAAATAAAAAAAGGAAACCGTCTTTTGGAATCATTACCATAACACAGTCTTGAATCTGGTAAAGGTTAAGACTGACACCCACTGGAAATGAACAAGATAAGCAACCTGCCGATTGCGATTGACACTATGATCCTAGCTTACAAAAGACTAGGTGCTAACTGAACACGATAAGTTGAAAAATGTTGTTGCAATGAGTCAACAAAGAACGACTTTTCCTGTAGAGGCTTTTTGTTGGTTTCTATTTTGTTTTGACTTCACATATAAACCACGGAACAGCACCAAAACGTTACATTTACTAAGCTTTCAGTGCAGTTTTCTGGTTTTGGATTTACGATAAGATCCCATCTTTGTAGAAGGACATAAATCCAGTCATCTCTTTTTTGATCAACAGCAGCTCTTCACTTAATCGCTGAACTTCAATTTGCCTTTCTTACCACTGCTCTTTTGATACTGAAAGGGATTGGAATGTCATCCAATTGGTTTTCACTGAGAAAGAATACTCTACGGCGATACGATCAATGCTCAAAAATGATTGTGGCTTACCAGTATTGTTAGAGTTATCAGGCTACTGTCATGGGATTTCCCCTTTCTCAATCTTCTCGGGTACCACGCTACTGGTATCACCAACAAGTTGACTGTAGTCGCACTCGGTTGTTTTTAGCGAATAGCTCTCACTGATAGCCTTTCTTCACAGACTTTGCCTCTGCTTAGACGAGTCTGCATAAAAGAAAGGAAGGTATCAGGAATTTTTCTTTTAGGCAGAGGTTGCATCTTTTACTGGAGCTGTTGTAGGGAGAGTTAGATGATAAGACGCGCCATGAAATAGAATAGTCAATGTTGTCGTTCTCTTATATATATATATATATATATATATATACATATATATATATATACATATATATATATGGTGCATTGGGTAAAACTATAATAGGTATATAAAGTGTTTCATTTGTGTAAATTACATTTGGCAAACGTTGCTGTCAACTGCCGACGTCCATTACTCAACTTGATAATTTTTAATCTATGATATGTACATACCTTCATGAATAATGTTTTCGAATAGATTGTGTCAGCGTCACAGAATTTCTATGATAAGTGAAATCTGTTGTTTTTAGACATTAGGGCCACAAAACTAGCGTCAACGATCTAATTCTCAAATTAAAATTGAATGAATGAACATTAGCTTATGACCAAAACTTGAACAAATTAACGTCGGAGGTTACGTATTTCAGAGGGACGTGATCAAAAATCTTTTACAAAGGCCAAAAAGCTTTTTTTTCCCACAAACGTAGCGTTAAGATAGGTCTTTCCTTTGATGGCATGTTTGTCGACATACAATGTTGCCCATCGGAGAAATTTGCAATCAATGGTTCTTTTTAAGAGGCCTCGCAGGATACGCAAATAAGCCTAGGCTATAAAATTTATTTGGCATTACAGGTATCAGCACCTGTGTTTAAAAAGCAGGAATAGATATATAAATAGTCAAAGTTTTCCTCAACGAGGAAGTTTTTGAGGGATAATTGCTAATTGTAGACCGAGTTATCAATCAAGTTTGAAATAGGCCTGTACCATGAGGGATGTTTGATATCAACTTACTAGCTCTCATGGAATTGTTTCCAAGTGAGTGTCTGCTAAAACAGGAAGCTGTGAGAATAGCATAATTTGCAAAGGTTTAAAACCACAGCTTGCGTCTTGAGTCTCTTAGTAATCTCGACATGTTAAATTTTATTGGCATCAGAGACATCAACAGAGAACGTGCAGAGAAATGGCACGTCTATGTCTGTGTTTCCTAGAAGACTCGACTTTCCAGAGAATCTAAAATTAAACTCTAGAAAGTAACTGGGGACTTTAAGAAACGAGAATGGGGACGGCGACGGGGACTCCAAACCCGCAAAAAGACTGGGAAGATGACGCCGTTGGGGCGGGAATTTCCGCTTATGATGTCTTTGAGAGAAGTTCGAAATCAACTTTTGATTAGCCACGATGATGGTGTGATAAACGATGAGGAACTTCTACTCCTGTACGATTTAAACAGGTCCGATAATGTTGATCTTCCGTACAATTCTTATCCTGGTTTTGACTTCGATGATTTGGAAGACGACGAGTGCCTTTCAGAGTTTCGCTTCTACAAGAACGACTTACCATTTCTGGCTGAAGTATTGGGGATTCCTGAGGTAGTGGAGTGCTATCAAAGAAGTATCTGCAGCGGATTGGAAGCTCTTTGCATTTTTCTAAAGAGACATAGCTATCCTTGTCGATAATTAGACATGATTGCTCGCTTTGGGAAGCCTGTTCCAGTGTTATGCATGATAAACAACTACATGATCGACTACACCTACCAAGCACACAGTCGCAGAATTTTGCAGTGGAACGATAGCATCTTACAAGGTAAATTGAAAGAAAATATTCTCGGTAGATGTTTGTCGACTGGCGCGACAAAATTCTTCAAAATTGTGCTGACAGATAAAAAAACCAAAACGGCTACATAAGTTGTAGAATGAATAAAGGGGTAAGTTTCTAAAGAAACTGTGGTGCTGCGTCGGTGGGAGAGTATAGCAGGTAATTTAGTGTTAACAACTGAGTTGAAACGTAAATTAGCCACCGTAAAGGGTAGAAAAAGCTGACGTTTCGAGTGTTAGCCCTTCGTCAGAGCGATTGGAGGAATTGTGGGTTGTGTGTGGGTTTATGTGCAGAAAGTGGAGCTACGCCATTGGTGGGAATATGGTGACAAGAAAACAGGAATAAATTATGAAATTAGAAGATCCTCGCAGCTAAGAACACTACTGAAACTAGTAGTTGTAAGTAGGACCTGAAAAAAATTCAGGCCTGTACGGGATTTGAACCCATGACCTCTGCGATACCTCTGCACCGGTATCGCAGAGGTCATGGGTTCAAATCCCGTACAGGCCTGAATTTTTTTCAGGTCCTACTTACAACTACTAGTTTCAGTAGTGTTCTTAGCTGCGAGGATCTTCTAATTTCATCTCTCCACCGCAGTGCAAATATGTGAAGGAATAAATTAGTTGAATGAAAAGC